TTCACTCTGAAATGCACATGACTATGTTAACTTTTCTGTGACATAAATACAAACACAAAAACTCACTCTCTGCCCAGGGCCATACATGTATATATATATATATATATATATATATATATATATATATATATATATATACATACACACGTATATATACATATATATGTATATATGTATATATATATATATATGTATATATATATATATATATATATATATATATATACATACATACATATAAATATGTATATATATGTGTGTATGTATATATATATATATACACATATATATGTATGTATGTATATATATATACATGTATATATATATATATATATATAATATATATATATATATATATATATATATATATATATACATGTATGGCCACACACACACACACACACACACACACATCCTTAATATGTGTGTGTGTGAGTGTGTGTGTGAGAGTGTGTGTGTTTGTGTTTGTGTGTGTGTGTGTGTGTGTGTGTGTGTGTGTGTGTGTGTGTGTGTGTGTGTGTGTGTTTGTGTGTGTGTGTTTGTGTGTGTGTGTGTGTGTGTGTACGTAAGTGTGTGATCACTTGATCATAAATGTTTAAAAAAAGAAAAGAAAATCTTCTGAAAAAGAAAAAAGAAAGCTGGGAAACTTTCCGTGCATCACTTGATTTTTGGACAAAGAATTACAATGTTGATGTAGCGTTGAAACAGGCAGCCAAAAATAAGTCTGAAATGGACTTGAGCTTTAGAAACCGAAGAGTGAACAGTGCTTCTCTCTTTAAACTTTACAAAATGATTAGTCAAAAATTGAAAACATTAATTTTAACCCAGAGGAAGATCCTGGAATCCATAAAGAAACAGAAACTGAAACCACAAACAAAAGTAAAAAGAAAAAAAACTAAAAAAATGAAGACCCTCTTTCAAAACTACCGCGAAACGAAACAGACAAACAATCAAATTACCCGCCAAACCAAGAAGCTGTCACCTCCCTTCGAACACAACAACAAACAGCAGCCACAGACAACACTTCGGAAACGCAAGCAGAAACCCAACAAAATGTAATTTCGATCCAGCTATGTGGGGAATCATACACCACAAACTTCAACAATCCAATAAAATTAACAGACGCAATAAACAAGTCTGAATTTCATAAATACATTAAAGAAAATACCCTTAGAGTCCTGGGAACAGGAAAAGCCTTAAGGTTTGAGGTATATGACCTAAACAAAGTAATAAAACCACTGCATGAAATAAAAAAAACAGGAAACTGGGAAGTACATTGTAAGCAAACAGCTTCTAGTAAAAACTCAGGCTATTCATATGGATCTATATTTCCAGTGGAAATAGACCTTAAAACAGATGTGCTAAAAGAAAAAATTAGAACAATTGGAGGACAAAATTCCAACATTACAGAAATAATGAGAATAAAAAAGAAAAACAAATAACCAAACTGTAAAGAAAAGTGGATAGACACGAAGTCCATAAGAATAACATTCCAAGGCAAACTGCCTGAAAGAATAGTAATAGGGCATATATCATATCTAATTCAACAATATACTTTCCCAATTCCTAAATGTTACAAATGTCAAAGATATGGCCATGGTATAATATGCAAAAACAAACAAAGGTGTAGCAAATGTAGCCAATTTGATCATACATTCAAAGATTGCAAAAATGGCCCTTATTGTTTTTATTGCAAGGAAAGTCATTCTCCAATAGACACAAACTGTAAATTTCATAAAATGGCAAAAGAGATAAATAAAAATAATTTAACACCAAATAATCAAGAAGTGAAGAAACAGTTGCAAAAGTTAAAACCTTTATCAGAAGGAGACCAGACACAACAAAATAAAGACACAACAAAATAAAGACACAACAAAATAAAGACACATCAACAGGTACACAAAGAAACAACAACATGAATGCAATAAACTCACAAAACACAAACAGGACACAATTCAACTTCGAAAACACAAGACAAACATATGCACAAACATTAAGCCAAGAACAAAGTTTAACGCTTGGACAGAGAACACCTACAATACAAAAAAAGGATATATAGACACAACACCAAACACAGCAGAAGATGAAATGTTAGAAAACAAACAAACACCAAAAACCTCACAAAACTTGGAAAGAGGAAACAAAGAAGACTATATAACAGAACAATCACCCACTACATGGTCTTTACCAACACCAATACAAAACACAAAGAAACAAAAAACAAATATAAACAAAAAAGAAAATACTTTCTCATGGCTTTCCTTTGGTAAAAAAGTATACAAAGCAATAATGAATACAATGAATGACATAAGTGAAGGTAAATCAATGATATAAAAAATTTCAGAAGTACTGTTAAATTTTGGACCACTAATAAAGATACTAATAGAATATCTGAATGAATAAAATAATATTATGGAACTCAAGATCCATAATAAACAAAGAAAACAGAAATAAACTATTTGATATATAAAGAAAACCCAGATGTAATAGCTTTATGTGAAACATGGTTAAAAGAGAATGACAAACTTAAGATCCCAAATTATGAAATAATAAGACAGGATAGAAAAAATCAAATAGGTGGAGGCCTAGCATTCTGCATGAAAAACTCTCTTCAATTCAAAAATCTAAAATTAAATGACAATCAAGTAAACAAATTCGAAGCACAAGCCATTAAAATACCTTGTAATAACAAATGGCTATTAATATTAATTCTTGGCTATTAATTCTTGGATTCGAGCTCACGTCACATGCTTTTAATTTGTGAGTGCGCGCGCAGCTGCAGTGAAAACAGTTCGTTGCTTCTCATTAGAATCACTGCATTGAGCACTGTATCAGAGGAGGAAATCTTTTGAATTTTTCTCTTCCTTTGAGACACTGTTGCTACCTTTTCTCTTCTCTTCTTTGCTGATTCAAACCGCTTCATCTTCTCTTGCTCTCTTTTAGCAACTTTTTGCGTGTACACAAAAATGGAAGGGACACAGTCTGGATGACTTGGATCCTTCTTCGTTGGCTCCCCTGAAAAAAATTACTCCTCTTTATTGAGGATGCCAAAAATAATGCCTCAGACGACAAAATTGGGGAGGGGGAGTTTGATAAGAATAATCACAGGACGTTAAGAATCCAGGGCCATGAAACCAATTTACCCTTGGCCTAAGGTAAGTTTTCATATGGTTATTGTTAGTTCTCCAAGGCTCAGAACCTTGGTAGTTGGAATACCTTTATAAGTAAATTTTGATTTTTAGCATCAAAAGCTCGATTCTTAGCTGTAATGAAGTGGTTTCCACAAAGGTAAACGTTCCTGCCTTTAGGCCTCCATGGCGTGCCATCCTTGTGTTGGCGTTTGCATGCGTTTATCCATTTTTCCCAAAGCTCATGTTCATTATTAGGAAAACGGAAGAATCCAGGCTTGTTTTCCATTTTATCATGGCTCGTGCAGCCATATGCAGCACAACTTAAAGGCATTTCAAAAAGCATAACTTACGGCTAATTCCAAACGAGGACGAGTACAACAGCTTCAGTGAGGAATGTTTTCACTGCCGTTGTCGTTGTGTAGCAACTATGATCGCATGCGCCGCGCATCTCAAATCCGAGAATTTACAACCCATGCAATAATATTTCAAAAGAAGATATAAAACACTACACAAACCAGTTAGAAGAACCTAGGCTTCTTATGGGAGATTTTAATGCTCACCACCCACTTTGGGAAACAAACTTGAACCCTAAACTCACTAATAAAATGGGAAAAAATCTTTTTGATTGTCTTACGCACAATGCAGAAATTTTATTAACGCCACCAAATCAAATAACTAGAATAGATCCAAAAACAGAAAAAACATCCACAATAGACCTAATAATGGGCTCTCCAAACTTAAGTCACTTCGAAATAGCTCCAGGTCCAAATTTGAATAGTGACCATTTGCCAATAATAGTAAAATCTAATAATACCCAAAATTCAAACTATAACAAAGAAAAAAATGGCACTTCACTAAAGAAGGGTGGAAGGAATATCAAAAAGAACTAAATAAATTCAAGTTAGAAGATGTAAAAATCCTGCCGAGACTAGCCAACATGCTAAAAGATTCGGGGGAAAGACGCTTCAAATATGAAAACTACAATATAGAAAATAAACCTAACAGGCCCTGGTGGAATGACAATTGTCACAAAATAATAAAGAAAAGAAATAAAGCTTATAATAGATGGAGAAAAAAAACTAACAAAGATAATGAAGTAGAATATAAAAAACTCATGGCAAAAAGTAGGCAAATAATAGAAATAGAAAAAAGAGAAAGACCTGGGGAAAATTTTGCAGTAATTTAGATTTTCAGACTCCAACCCAAAAAGTTTGGAACTTCACAAAGAAACAAACAGGCAAAACATCAAACCAAAATTACCCCTTGATTAGTAATGACCTTCCAATATCAAATATTAATAACAAATGAGAATTATTCAAAAAGAATATAAAAAGATCATAGGAGAAGAACCAAAAATAATAAACACCAAAGCTGAAATAGCCAACTCTTAAACCTTCCTGATACAAAAAATCCAGACAAAAATATAACCATGGAAGAACTGAAAAGAACAATCAACAAAACTAAGAACGGAAAGGCTTATGGGCCAGACAAATTTTATAAAAAGGCACCTGAGAACATATTAGGAGTAATTTTAAAAGAAATCAATAAATTATGGTCAAAAGGTGAATACCCAAATGAACTGAAGAACGTGTTAATAAACGCAATAGTAAAACCAGGAAAAAACCCGGCAGACATAACTTCATATAGGTTTACCAGTAGAATTTCTTGCCCAGGAAAAATATATGAAAACATTATTAATAACAGAATAAATTGGTGGCTTGAAACACAAAAAAACTAGATGATCAAGTTGGCTTCAGACCCAATAAATCTACCATTGACGCACTTCAAATAGTCGAAGCGAAAATAAAAAAGTCATTACATGTAAAAAAATACGCACTGGTAGCTTGTTTAGATCTTGAAAAAGCTTTT